CACTGGGGGGGATAGTAGATTAACGAATTTCAACGTATTATGACTGTGCCGAAAAGTTTGCACATACGTAAATACCATATTATTTTTGCTAAAATATAGATTCAAACAATTTCCTTAAATGGTATGGCATCGTGAAAGTTGTGTTTGTGCTAAAATAGTTACTTGGCTATAGAAATATTCAAAACACCAAGAAACAAACCATGTTCCGAAAGCATACTGAAACAAAATTTTCATTTATTATTTAGATGAAAAATAGTCTAACAATTATTAATAAATTCAACGTTTCTGTTCTGTTTACAGGTCAGTACGCTGTTGTTATTGTAGCAGTTCTGGCAGTGGTAAATGTATTCTAATCTATTTGACAATAATTTCTCGGATTTTTTAAAATGCCGTAAATTGTTATTCATCATTAAAACCAAGGCTTGGCCTATATCTATTTCTACCAAAATGTGTTTTATGAAAGTTCAGTTTGAGCTATATGGAATTCAACTAAAAAACTGTATACGCCACAAAGTAGGCCGTTATGTAGAAATTTAATAATATAACACATACCCATAAATAAGTCAACGAAGGTTACTTCCCTTTTCAGGTGATAACAGAAACATGCGCAGATATGATGCGCAAGAGCATCGTTTTTAACAGCAAGATGCCCAAGGTATTCTACTGTCCTCAAGATAAGCCAACGGGAATGGATAAGATGTATGTCAAGGCTAAACCGATAGAAAAACTCTGTGAATATGGCGGGAAGAAACTTCCCAAACATTACCTTTCTGACTGTTACAACGACGTCGACGAGACAGAGTATGCTTGCGCTGAAAAGCGTAGGATTATGGTGAGTTCCAGATCATTGGTAAAGTGTTAATATTGTAAAAAAATTCTAGTATATCAGAACACTGATACAGTTAAAAGTATTTATATAACAAAGAAATTAAATACTTCCGAAATAAAATACATGCAAATAAGTAAAGTTAACACTGAATCTTAGTTGTTATCAAAGTAAAGTAACTTGAATTGATTTCTAACAAAATGAGTAGCAGAATATCAAGACATAACATGGGATTATCGTCTTTTCTATGATTACAGAAGCTCGTTAAACTTTAACAACAACAAAAAGTTTAATCATTATTGGTTTAAATATTTACAATAGATGGCGCTGTCGTTTTGGAATTACTAGTGTCAAGTGTCAGAACGCTGATATAGCCGTAGAGATACTGTAGATACAAATGCAAAAAAATTATAAAAAATGTCTTAACATAATTGTGTGTGAAAATTAATGATATACTTATTTCAAATAAACCAGATTTTTTATTTTAATGTTAACTTGTGTTTATAACAGGCAATAAAATTAGACAATTTTAAAGTTCAACGTAGAGTGATTTTTCGTACTTTTTGGTGCTTTGTATTATTGAAAGGTTAATATCAATTTTAATCGTATAAACAAAGTACTATAATTTACCAATTCTCGATAATTTTCGTGAAAAAGAAAAAATTACGTTTCAAACATCACTCAAAAGATATGTATTTTCCAGAAGTGGATAAAAACTTCGAATAGCACAGGCTCTCGCTTTCGGACGACGACTGACCCATCTGTTGAACAAGTCAGGAACCAATAATATATACGGGACAAAGAAAAGTATTTATTTGCTTTTCATTCGTGAAGTTAACTTTATTTGTGTAAACATTTAGATTAACTAAAAATTGAGTGAAGTGATGTTTATATTTGTGGTTTACTTCTTTCCAATTTGGGACTGGCGATGTATCAATAGTTTATAAATAAGGAAACGGTGTCAGTAGGTTAAGGTTAAGGTCAGTAGGTTTTCAAGCAGTTCTTGGAAAACTCCATTGTGATGTATTTCTACGTATTTTGGTGATGGTGGGTTACAAATTTAGTTTTTTGATAAGGTGGTTTGGTCAGTTACTATGGAATTACTAGATCCCGGTATTCAATTTCATGGGTGAATATTCTTACTACTTTTGGTAAACCAATCACATCCGATGTTCATGGACCAAACTACCTTGTGTTTTCACAAGTGATTATGGGAGCGCCATCTGTATTTAATTTTAATTTATACTAAAAATAGTTATTAATTGATTTTCAAATAACTCAGTACCACTATAAAAAAAAGCTATAAAAAGGGACTAGAATTAAAAAAACACTACATAAATATGTTTTATTTTAATCCCATTTTTAGTCGCTTTATGTTCTTGCAATTTTTTTTAACTGCGAGATACTTTAAAAATAAATCACTACCGAAATCAAACGTATTTATATTGATTATTGTGTTTTTTTATGGTATATAACGTTTTATCTGTAGCTCGTGTGACATTAGATGATAGTAACATTGATGAAGTATTTAGCAAACATGATTTTTACTAGTCATATAAGAAAAAAATGATTAGCATTTTAAAGAATAAAATATGTAAACAGATGGCGCTGGGTTCGCAAAGAACACATTTCAAAATGATAATGGTCTTTTAAAGGTTTCGACATCATACTGCAGTATGATAATTTATAATGGTGTCCACATGTTATGTTGAGATTTTTTATGCTCGAGTTGTAATTTTGAACAATATTAAAAAGAAATTCCTAATACTTTTTGTAGTCTAGATTTTTATTTTTCTTAACTTCAGTGTTACTTATTTTATACTTTGGCAAAAGAAAGAGTAAGAAGTTAATAATTAGACTTATTTGATCTTATTGGTCGCTAACCAGGAAAATCATACATATTTTATATGCGTTAAATCTTAACGGTTAATAACAGCTTATCTTTATAGTGATAAAAAGTTTAAATAAAGTATACCTTAAAGAAACTTGTGGGAGAATATGCTCATGATTATAAGACTTGAATAAAAAAAAAATCTATAAACCTGAAGATGTGTATTCATTTCAAGAAATGATGGAGCTTGTATGCGATTTTATCAAGGCTGCTACAAAAACTGATGCTTTTAAATACATCTCAGTACTTTTATAGTGAAAGTCAGACGTTGTTTGAAGAACAACTAGCTGTTTGCTGAATTTTTCTATCAGTAAATATGGCTGACACAAACTTGTCGGTAGTCTTAGCTTTCAACATATTAGAACTTGTTTTTAAATTCAAGTTGTTTGTTTATATACAAATAACATAGTTTAGTATGTCCGATAAACCCTGTTCTGCAATGAAATTGCGCAATGGGATAATACATAAACGTTATCCATCACCTGTGTAGGGTTAAAAAATACTTTTATCAGATTCTTCAAAAATAGAAGAGTTACTTGCAAAGAATGAATTAATGTATTCTACTATAAAGTAATACTTCATATGACTTTACCAAAATCTCAGTTTTTGTAGATCCAATAGAAGGATAGGTTACATGTTAATATTAGCGTAAGCGTAAAAAATGATAACTTATTTGTTAATATTAGCCTAAGCCAAAAGAAAGGATATGTTATGTTTTAGTATTAGCGTAAGTCAAAAAATGGTAGGCTATGTGTTAACCTGAGCGCTTAGTGCCAATAAAATGGTAGGTTATGTGTTAATCTGAGCGCTTAGTGCCAATAAAAGGATAGATTGTGTTAATCTGATCATGCAGTGTGAAGAAACTGAGATTATATTTAAATATGAGCCAACATTTCATAAAAATAGTGCAATTAAGAATTTTTTGCGTACCTTGGAAAAATCAAGGAGCTGAGAAAAGCTCCTTATAAAATACAACGAAAAATCAAGACTGATAGATGCATCAAAAGATTGTTCAGTGAACGCTTGATTTTTAATTCTACGTACAGATGGCGCTTCCGTGTAATTTAATTCCGAGCCTCACTGATATTTATTGATATTCTACAAGCGTCTCTGGGCATATTGAGCCATGAGTACTTATCAGAGCTAAGCTCTGTAAGTTGGTAAAGTAGCAGTTAACGAAATTTTAAGCTATGAAAATACATTTATTAGCCAACTGTATCATTTGGTTATAACTACTAACCTTTAAAGTCAAACAGAATATCGCATACACACTGAATTTCATCTTATAAAATTGTCTATTTTTACCATGTTTAGAAAGACGATATGTACATATATCTAAAGTTAACCAGCTTTCTTGGCATAGGTTTATATACAATTAATTTAACAGCGTAGCTAATTTCTCCAGAATTCGAGCCAATTGCTAAACATAACTATTTCTACTTAATTTAAGCCTTGCAATTATATTGGTGTGTGCATAACACGCGTGATTTTTTTTTCATGTTACACATTTCTGTGCTACAATACATAAAAAACGCTATTTTTATTCTTAATAATAGTGATTACACTCGACTGAATATTTTTTCTATAATTTTCTTAATTAGTCCAATATGGATTTCAAAGTAGAGGCAAGTCTGTGTCACAAGACCGTAAGACACTTTTTCTCCCCACACATTTGCTGTGTTACAACACGTAAGAAACTTTTTGTATGTTTTTACACAACTTTACGACATATGTACTATGTCACAAAAGGTAAGAAATGTTTGTGTTTATACATACTTTAAGCCTTATATTTATGTGTACTATGTAACTTTTTTTTTAATGTAATTTTTAACCATTTCAGTGGCATAACAACCATTTGAAATTATTAGGTTTCCGGAATCGACTTCGTGATAAAGATCACAGAATACCAGTACTGGAATATTTGTGGTGGTACTTCCGGTGTTGCGCAGGCGCCATGAACATTGTTGTTTTCACAGCAAACTTAACTCTGAGTCATTATTCCAATAACGGCTGCTGTGAGAAGTAATAATTTGAGGCGTAGGAGTTTTGTGGTTGGAAGACTCTTTGAATACAAACATCGTCGAGCTGTATTAATTTAACGCGTGAGGGAAAATCTGACACGAGTTTAATCCAAATATTTTTCAAACGTTTTTTTTTTTCGAAAATAATAACGATAAATTATCATTAGAAAATAATTGGCCGAAACCTGCGATATAATTGGACAGGATTTTTACCTGTATTCCAAAATAAAATATTCTACCTTTAAAATACTTGTATATACATGTGTCTTTTAAAATTATAACAGATAGAAAACTAGAAACACTGGCGAAATAAGACAGCTTCCTTGTTTTGTTTGTTTATTGAATTTCGCACAAAGCTATTCGAGGGCTATCTGCGCTGGCAGTCCCTAATTTTTCAACTGATCGATTAGAGGGAAGCCAGCTAGCTAAATCCATCCATCGCTAACTCTTGAGCTATTATTTTACCAACGAATAGTGGGATTGGCCGAAACATTATAACGCCCCCACGGCTGAAAGGGCAAGCAAAGTTTGGTGACAAGATTCGAACCCGCGACCAGCAGATTGCAAGTCGGATGTCCTAACCACCAGGCTATGCCAGACCCAATCGTATGTCACAGTGAACTTTGACCGTGGCCCAAAAACTACTACTGTCGTACACGATCTTTGTAACAAATAAATATGTGTGTGTGGTTTTTCTTACATCCAATATCAAACCACGCTGGTTTTAGATACCGAAGGTGGGGATCGTTTTCAATTATTATATTTTCTACAAGATATACACAACTAATTAGTTCTAGTGATATGGCTGTAGAACTAAAATATGACAGAAAATGTGTAACGAGCTAAATAACTTGTGTTATTGAATAATATTATACAAATATTTGACAGTTTGTCCTAGTATAAGGAATGACAGTGGATAAGATGTATACAAGATTCGAGGAACTTGATGTTAATGTGAAAAAATATTTAACTCTACTCCTGGGCGAAATAAAAATATTTTTTTTTTACAAAAGAAGTTTTAGTTATAAATCATATTTGTTGTGTTATTTACAAACTTTAATAGCAGTGCTACGACAGCGGGAGTTACGTGACGCTGTTAACACGTCATGAGATTCTCGAATGATCTTGACTTTTCCTGGCAACTCTAGTCTTTTGTGGCGCCCTCTTTTTTTGCATATTAGCCCGGCAAATAATTGCAGATAGAGAAATATAGGGACAGATAACTGAGTCAAGCGAGCGGAAATGACCGTAAGTAAAGTGCGTGAATCGTTGTGAATTATAGCGTGTGTTGACGTTAAAGTGACTGTGGAAATTCTATGTATTGCAAAGTTGTATTGAGAAAGAATAAACTAGTTTTATTTAAGAAAGGACTTGTATCGCTGAAGTTCCTCGGGTAGAATTTATACCGGAAATTAACAAACGACCAGAGACGTAACAGTAGAAATGCCAAATACAAGATTCAACAATACAAAGAAAATAATACACGCACAATAGACACAACAGAAACCAGATAACATTACATGGACATGGCTCTGAATATGTTTGTTTGGGACGTAACAGTAGAAATGCCAGAATTTTTTTATGTAAGAGTTTGTTTGTTTGTAATTAAGCGCAAAGCTACACAATGGGCTATCTGCGCTCTGCCCACCAAGGGTATCGAAACCCAGATTCTAGCGTTGTAAGTCCGCAGACATACCGCTGTGTCACTGGGGGGCTTATGTAAGAGAAAGAGGCAGAAAGCTTAACGCCCATCTACTAGAACCGAAATGAACTCAAAATCAGGGCATAAAATATAGATGAATGTAGTTAAAATTGTAAATAACGAATACAATATCAGTATGTGTAAAATGAAAGAAGCTCTTATAATTATATCTAATTAACCTTTGATTAATAAAGCGTTACCTTTATAAAACTGGCTTTGCTTTGACGTAGTCTGGACTTAAACCTAATTGGTTCGTGTGCTTGACTTCTTTGCATGACCTATTTAACGTGAAACGCCTTATATTGTTTTTGTTTTATCTGATGATGGCATGTTAATTTATCGAAACATTGTGAAACA